TTATCAGTAGTAGGAGCGTTAACTACCGCTACCCTAACCCTAACCCTATCCATAACTCTAACCCTAATCCTAACCACTAACCTCGAACCCTAACCCTAACCCCTACACATAGTATTTTTCTACCCCTCTCACGTACGCGTCGACTGGTTATCGTGAAGAAACCAATTATCGTTGATAAAATATCGAAAGATGCGTATTTAGCCGTACCGCCTCAGCTCTATATGATAAAGACCTCATCGTCGTGTTAATCCTACATACCGTTTCCAGTGTGGTGACTTCTTTTCTTTTTTCTTATCTTCGGACTAGTTGTATCGTCACTCACGTATTCATCTGTGGGTTAGATATGTCAACTACGTTTGCATTCTGCGTGACCTTACACATATATAAATATATATAAATATATACTTGATTTACATTTATATAATATATGTATCATATATGTTATCGCTTTTGTATATAAGTTATATATATAGATATATATATATATAAATATATTTATACACGTATATATATAATCATATGTATAAAGAACATGAAAATGTGTGCGATACAAACAACTGAAGGTGGAGATGGACAACTGTATAGCAAACGCTATGTATATACAAGGATGTTGCCTTTCGTTGAAACGCTCTACGACCGGGTACACCTATACCAGCACTACACGGGGAAAAGCGCGCGAGGGGGGGGGTGTTCGGTTGTTCAACTCGCTGCGATGTGCAGCAGCAGTGTCTATCTATATGTACGGCAAGGGTGGGCCGTGTATGAGGTATAAACACATCGAAGCGTGCACATACACATTGCCGTACGGTAGACGACACATAAGGACTAGCGTACACGCTAGAGCAGCAGCGGCAGCATGTGCGCGTGAGATAGTCGTGACATATCTCATATTTGAGACAGGAGCAGCAAAATGCTTCTCTACCACGAGTAAACTTATAGAGTGAGTGAAATAGCGTCCGCGAACAAATATATAGCGTGGTGAGAGGAGAGCAAATATTAAACTTGTGTGAGCGCGGGGTGACTACTACCGTAGAATATACAT